AATAAAGAATAGCCAGTACCAATGACAAAGATGAGCTTTGATGTGTGAGAAGCTAATGAGTGTTTCTAAGCAAAAGGCTTCCTCAATAGGAATTGAAGTAACTGGACTACAGTCCTAGTTTACTCTTTTTTTACTTTGAATTGTGTCATTGGATTGTACAGTTTTTTTTTTTTTTACTAATGTTTTAGTATTGATATTCGATAATCACGTTGAATCTTAATTAATTAAGAATTGAACCGTATCGGGTCATATTTGAGAAAACTCTCCTAACGTCTATTTCTCCATTCACAAAACTTAAACTCGAACTCGAACTTGAAATCTTACTTAAGGAGAATTGAACTCATTTCACTCGAATCAACAAATAGTTAGTATTATACAGCATTATTGTAATTCTTTTTACAATTTTTAATAATTAACTGCCTCTGTTTTATCCGGGTAAAGTGCTTATGTTTTGGTAATAAAATATTACATTTGACCAAATTAGCCAATTTGAAGGAAGGAGAAATAAGACTTATGAGACTTGAAAACATAAGTGATTTTTACTTAATCAAAGATCTTGATCAATAGGTCACTGATAAAAAAATATAAACTTTAGTTTCATCCAATATCTCACTAAAACTCTCCTCGGTAAATAATTCCATATGTTTCCCAATGATTGAAACCATTGACAGTTGTATCTGATGAATGCTATTTAGTTCCTTTTTCTTTTTGGCCATAACGAGAGCAGAATGCTATTTAGTTAGACAATGCACAAATAATACGAGGAGTGGTAGGTAAAGTAAAATGCAGTCTTCATTTTAAGCTGGCTCCTGCCAGACTGTAAAACGGCAAATTGTAGAGAGATAGATTAGATAGATAATTTGCAAAAGTTCTATAAATTTATTGAAAAAGTATTGATTTAGTTTGATTTGGTTGTTAAAAATAATTAATAATTAATAAAATAATAAATATTTATTTTTTTATAAGATTAATATTTAATATTAATTAATTAATTAATTGAAATTAGTTTATAAACTAATATTTTTAAATATTATAACTAACTATTTAGGCTTAACCTCTTATTTATTCTCTTAACTTATAGATTTTAAGGCTGTAAACTCCTCACCTAAAAACTTAAAAATATTAGCCTTTCAACAATATAATTTAGGAGAATTTACTATTATTTAGTATATTATAATATGATATTGTTAGTCAAATGCTATTTTCATCTTAATTAGTGACACGTTCAGCATCTTTGTCCTACATGGTATTCCATTGTAAGTTTGTAACAATGCCACACTCTCTCGTAATAAATTTTTTTAAATAAAAAAACTTGCTTAGAATCTCAAACAAAAATATACAAGTTAACTTTACCAAAGCAGGGCCCATATTAGATTAAATGAGAAATTTTTGTTGATTGCCATGGTGGCATGCCACATAGGGTAGAAAATGCCGACTGTGTTGTTGATTAAGATGAAAATAATGTTTGACTAATTGTGTAAGATTAAAATCTGTTAAATAAGGATGAATTTTCTCAAATTATATTATTGAGGGGTTAATACCCTTAAATTTTGAAGTAAGAGGCCAATAACCTTAAAATCAATAAGTGGCTAATTAGGGGATTGGGCCAACTATTTAAATAAAAACATTAAAAATATCAATCAAATTAAATAAAATTTGTGTGTCTTTAACTAACTCTATGTTTGAATTGAACGAAATAGAGAGGAGATGAGAGAAAAAGGAGAGGAGAGAAAAGTTTTTAACCAATTAAATTATAATAATATTTAGATATTGTAGTTTGTTTTGTTAAAAAATCTTCTTCTCTTCTCTCTCCTATTCCCTTTAACCAAACATATTATACAATTATAAGCACACCCTACCTAATAATGGTTGTTGGTGTTTTGTAATTGAGTATAAGAGGCTCTTTTTTTTTTAATAAATAATTGATATTTTTTACGAGCTTAGTTTTAAAAGTATAAATAAATTGTCAACATTAATCTTAGTTGAATATTGTCTTAATTTTAGTTTGTATTTACAGTTTAAATAAAGAATTGCCAGTTCCAATGACAAAGATGAGCTTGATGTGTGATAAACTAATGACTTTTGCTAAGCGAAAGGCTTCATCAATAGGAATTGAAGTAACTGGATTATGCTTCTAGTTTACTGTTTTTATACTTTGAATTGTTTCATTGAATTGTACAGTTTTATTGTAATTCTTTTTATAATTTTTAACAACTAACCGCCACTGTTTAAGTCGAGTAAAGTGCTGATGTTTTGGAAATAAAATATTACATTTTACCCAAAAAATATAAACTTTAGTTTCATCCTATATTTCACTCAAACTCTTCTAGGTAAATAATTACATACATTTCCCAATGGTGGAAACCCTTGAAAGTTGTACCTGATCAATGCCACTTAGTTCCATTTTCTTTTTGGCCATAACGGGAGCAGAATACCATTTAGTTAGACAATGCACAAATAATAGGAGTGGTAGGTAAAATGCAGTTCTCATTTTAAGCTGGGTCATGCAAAACTGTAAAACGGCCAATTGTAGATAGATGGATAGATGATTGCAATCTTAAACATCCACAGAGGGGAAATAGTGGGATTACAAAAATTCCAGTACAAACATGAATAAGCCCTTCACCATCCCAATGACACTAATAAAAACAAACAAAATCATCTTAAACTCTACGCTACTGCTAATCATCCAGCTGGAGAAGAATCCTGCCAGAAAACTGACCAAAGGTGCAATTCTTCTGAATTAAGCGTATACAGGTAGAGAAGATCCAGTTTTGGTCGGTAAAAGTAAGGTCCCAAAGTCTAGAGTAGGCAGCAACTATCAATTAATACTATGCATTCATCTTCGATATGCAACTGCATAACATATATATATTTACTTCCATAGTTTCAGCACCAATGAGTTTTATCTATCCATATCCTTGGGCACAAGTTACCAAAACCATGGAGAGACAAAAGCCACAACTAAGCCTTGTTAAATTCAGCAGGCTGCTGGTGCTGTGGAAAACTAGAAGTAGACAATACAAGGCCTTCATTTTGATGCTTCTCCCATCCACCAGTATCAGCCTTGGAGTGTGCCCAATAGTAAAAGATTGACCCAAAAAGTGACAACAATGTTAGCGCTGCTCCAGCAGCAAAGACACCTTTGCGGAGGGTGGCACATGATAAATCATCTGCACTAAATATTCCCCGGTACTTGGTATGGTATGCATTCTTTGCAGACCCCGCCAATAAGCATGCCTCAGCTCCCAGAAAGCATACCCTGATTCATTGTTTAAATTTTTTTGTTTTAGTGACAATATTTCAGCACTGAGTTTTGCCTATTACTGCTATAACAGTGCACAAGAATGCTCATTAACTACTTGAATCAGTCCTATTAGATGATCATTACAATACAAAAAAAAAGGTGCTTATACCATCTTTTGATGTTTGTTCTGAAATGAAGTAAATTGTTTCACAACACCCAATTGATGGAACACCTTTCTTCTAATGTCACAATACCAAAATTTTTCAGTGTCAGAAACAAAACCTGAGTCAAACAACTAATGCAAAACCTCAAATTTCATCACAATGTTCACAAATTTACTAGCTTTACATGTTTACAAGGAATCTATTCAAGCCAAAGCACTTAGAAATTTTGGCTCTATTTGTCGGTGGACTACAATACTACTCCTAACATTTATCAAACTAAGCTCACAGCAAACAGAGAAGCACCGATTCACAAAAATTATACAAAAATTAAGAAAAAGAAAGGGAAGAAACTGGTAAAATTACCAGGAAACAACGAAGAAGAAGACGGCGCAGCAGGCGGAGGAGGTACCGGTGAGAAGGCCCTTGCCAAAGCAGAGACACCTGGTGACGCCGCTAACCACTAATTGACTGATCAGCAGCAGAGCGAAAGCCACCAACCCGTATACCGTCGATGCGTCGGCGGTGTAAACGCAGTAGGTTTGCTCATCGTACTCATCAGGCACCACCTCGGCCTTCAAGAAACAAATGAAACAACACAGCATTAGCTAAAATTGAAGAATAAGCACGCTCAAAATCCGAAGATGTGCAAAAGAGGAGGTAAGGGAGGGAGAAAGAAATACGACGCTACGGCGGCGTTCGGCGCCAATGGCGAGGACGAAGGCGATGAGGTGAAGAGAAATGATGGTGGCTAAAATGGGGACTGAAACTGCCATTGCTCCCACTCCTTTCTGCTCTTGCTTTTCTCGTGTTCTGTCTTGGTTTATCTGGGACCGATGCTACTTTATATTGGGAAAAGCAATCCATTTAATAATAAAATTTTCCTATTATATTTATATAAATTTTAAGAGTTTGTCTTTTGTATTTTTTTTTTTTTACCACTGGTTAAGAAATTAGTAGAGTTAGTTTGTTAGCAACTAGAATTTTTTCAGAAAAGTGAACCTTCCACCCCTCATTTAAGGCGCGCGACCATTAGGTCACAAGTTGGTGGAGTTCACAGTGGTGGCAAAACTCGAAACCCTGACCTCCGCCTCACCAAACCTTAAAGTTTGGGGACAACTAATTGTACCACAGGATCGTTGGTGTTTGTCTTTTGTCCTTAGGTACAGTTTAAAAATATATTAAAATATATTTTTATTATAAATTTATATTAAAAATTAATTTTTAATTTATTAATTATTTAATTAAATCTCCTCAACATTAAAATTAACATTAATTTTTATTTATATATTTATAATAAAAAATATAATAAATATATCATTATCTTAAGAGTGTAGTATAAAAAATTCAAATTTAATTGTTTTTTATTTTTAATAATTTAAGTTTATTTGTATTTATTTAAAATAATTATTTTTTATTTAAAAATTATGATAAATTTTAATTATTAAAAATAAAATAATAAATAATTAAAATTGTA